AAATAAAATCTTAAAAAAAAAAAAAAAAAAGAAATTGGCCTCTTCTAAAACTAGGTGACTTTTATAGACTTTTCTCACATTTTCTCACATTCCTGTGGTGGTGTGAGGCAGAAAGGTTAGTGAAGTTCACCTTATCTTCCCATTCCTGGTTCTTGTCATACTTATGTATTATCTCTGTTGCCTGTCTCTGAGGTCCCTGGAGATCCAGATGGTATCTTCAAACTGCCTCCCTACTCTATCTATTTCTCATTATAAAATTACCAAAGGTTTTAAATAATCATAGCAACACAGTGTAAGTTAAAAAAAAGAAAAAGAAAAAACAGTCAGTTCTTAACCATTCTCAGAATTAATAGTTGATACTTTGCTGTAACAGCTTTAGGTTTTTAAAAAATGTAACAGAAAAATAGGCACACAGAAGGCACTCCTTTTTTATTTCTCTTCATTAGTCTCCTTCCCCTCCCGAGATGTTTTTCCCTCTGGTGATGCCCCCGCTGTTTGTCTAGGGATCACACATTTCATTGTCTTGTTACCACATCTTTTCCATTAGATTTATCAACAACGTGGACCCCAGAAATGAAACAGGTGTTTCAGAATTCTTTCTCATGGAAGTGACAGAGAGTCCAGAACTGCAATCACTTGTTTTCGGCCTGTTGCTGTCCATGTACCTGGTCACCATCCTAGGAAACCTGCTCATCATCCTGGTTGTCAGCTCTGATACCCACCTGCACACCCCCATGTATTTCTTTCTCTCCAATCTGTCCTTTATTGACATCTGTTTAAGCACAACCACTATCCCAAAGATCCTGGGGAATATCCAAGCTCAGGATCAGAGCATCGGTTATGCAGGCTGCCTCACACAGGTCTGCTTTGTCCTGGCTTTTGCAACTTTGGATAGTTGTCTTCTTTCAGTAATGGCCTATGATCGCTATGTGGCCATTTGCCACCCACTAAGGTATATGGTCATCATGAACCCCCACCTCTGCAGACTGCTGATTCTTCTCTCCCTGTTTATTAGCATTATGGATGCCATCCTCCACAGTCTGATGGTGTTGCGACTGTCCTTCTGCACAGACCTGGAAATCCCCCTCTTCTTCTGTGAAATTGTTCAGCTCACCAAGCTTGCGTGTTCTGATACTCTCATCAATAACATCCTGATATATTTTGCATCCAGCATATTTGGTGGCATTCCTGTGTGTGGAATCATTTTCTCTTATTTTCAAATAGTCTCCTCTGTTTTGAGAATGCCAACAGTTGGTGGAAAGTTTAAAGCTTTTTCCACCTGTGGGTCTCACCTTACAGTTGTATCCTTATTCTATGGGACAGCTTTTGGTGTGTACATTTGTTCTTCTCTTACTAACTCTTCCAGAATCACTGCAGTGGTTTCAATGATGTATACTCTTGTCCCTCAAATGATGAACCCCTTCATCTATAGCCTGAGGAACAGGGACATGAAGGGAGCCCTGAGGACACTCATCAGTATCTAGAATACCTTTCCTTCTTGATTGTGTCATATGCTTAGGCCTGGGGTTCCTAGAATGACTCAAAGTGGCAGAAATATTGGGTGAGCCAGGATGCCTGATTCTTGCATCATTATATTTTTCTAAAGTAACCAGATAACATAACAGGTAAGTGAATTTTAACTTGGGGTTGAAACTTGACTTGCTCTTGGTATAGCTCTGTGATGTTTCAAAAATGGGTTCCATTATCTAAGTTCAGTTTCTTTGGTCAGGTCCATTGAGCTGAACCTGAGGCAAAGATTTTAGTGATTTTGTATGAGCATTCCACAGAAGAAGAAAAGTAGAGAAGTTGGGTGGGTCAGGGAGAGGATCCAAACAAGTGTGTGGTCATCGAGACATGATTCTGCCGATTCCATAACTAGCGGCATATGAATGCACCCCAGAAATAATCCTACTGTGAGACATGGGAGTAGCTTATCTTTCTTACTTAATTCAGTAATTTCCAAGACTGGTCACTAGAAAACTGTATCTGTGCAAAGGCACCATCAGCATTCACTACACTCAGTTTCATTATGTGTACAATTGCTATAATTTGATTATCTCAAGTGGTTTGAGATGATTGTGAAACATTTGATCTTGATCAGTGAGGAAGCCCTTGTTTGTACTAAGAGAAAGTAACCCTGATTCTAATATACACAAACAATAAAGCGAGTTATGTTATTGACAAGGGCTTCAGAGGTAGGGAATGTAGAGGAAAATTCATTCACTGTTCTATTTGGTGGCTATGTCTTGGGCTAGTTACCCCCATGGGTCCACACAGCTGCAACACATACAGGCATCATATTCAGGCATGATGCCCAGAGACAGAAATCTGACTGTCCTACTCTGGCTCCGTTTTTACTTGACATTGCATGGAGTCATCCAGAATATATCCCCTTTAATCTCTTCACTGAGAATAGGATCATATATTACCTACTTAATCTAATTCTTGGTGTGTAGAAAATGATTGCTATGAGAGTCTTAGACTGACAATATGGAGTGAAAATCCTGCTAGGAAGTCTATCCGCATAAGCACTACAAACACTTAGGACACTGCCTGACACCTACTAAGTACTCAATAAAATTTAACTGCTATCATTGTGTTCCATACTTTGCCTATATAGTCTTTTTTTTTTTTTGTGAGGAAGACTAGCCCTGAGCTAACATCCGATGCCAATCCTCCTCTTTTTTCGCTGAAGAAGAGTGGCCCTGGGCTAAGATCCGTGCCTATCTTCCTCTACTTTACGTGGGACGCCCCTTTAGCATGGCTTGACAAGGTGCGTCAGTGTGTGCCGGGGATCCGAACTCGCGTACCCCGGGCCACTGAAGCGGAGCGCGCAGCGCACTTAACCTCTGTGCCACCCGGCCAGCCCCTTGCCTATATATTCTTAAATCTTGTAATCCTATTGGTCTCATACTTTTACTACTTGCTTCAGCAATTAGATTTGTTTTCTTTTATTGTTATATTTATCAGTTGCTTTTTCCGGTCTGAGTAATAAAATAAATAATTATTAGATAAGCAGGGCAAAGGTTGGTAATCTCCTTCTGGAATCTTAGTGCTGTTAACATTCTCATTGACTTATGTATAAGAATATATCTGAGTTTTCACTTTTGTCCTTGGTCATCTTTTATTACTGTGTATCTTACACATCTCTGGTGGAGCCCACACAAAGAAACATAATTGAATAACATTAATTATCTCATCTATGTCATAAAGCATTGGGTGCAGTCTTAGGGTTCTAATGCAATCCTTTTTAGTGTGTCTTTATGAGGACGGTTATTCTATGCAAAACTGCTTTCCTTTGACAAAGAGATGTTGAGTGTAAGACAAGAGAGGAGAAAAGGATACTTGTCAAGATTAGAAGAATTACTTTTCCCATAAGCACAAAAAACCAGGACCATAAGTTAGAATCATCTCTGTGGGTGAAGGGGTGAAAACAGTGCAGGTTTCAAATGAGAATCCAAGTTGTTGCTGGAGAGCTTTCTGTTCTGGTCATCAGTGGAGGTTGAGGGGGGTATTCTTTTTCAGCACCACATTAGGAAATATCTCCCTACCTGGCATTTGAGGTATCTGCCAGTGCAGAGCTTCCTCCACTAATGTCCACAGAACAGCTGCAGAGATGAATCACCTGAGACCTGTGTTCATACTGAGGTGTACCTGACTTCCAGAAAGAACTACTGACTTTGAACCTCTGGGGAAACTTGTGAGGGATGTGCATTCGTTTTTACACTCAGAATTATATTTCAAATATTCCCAAAGTATGGCCCATTTTTATAAAAAATTGAAAGAATTAAAAAACATCTTTAGATCAGATAAGCATTTTTAATAAGTGCTCTGTGAAATTCTGGTGACCTCTGAAATCTGAGATGCGTGACTTCAGTATAAAAGAATATGGGAGGGCTGACCCTGTGGCATAGCAGTTAAGTGTGCATGCTCTGCTGCTGGTGGTCCGGGGTTCGGATCCCGGGCGTGCACGGATGCACCGCTTGTCAGGCCATGCTGTGGCGGCGTCCCACATAAAGTGGAGGAAGATGGGCATGGATGTTAGCTCACGGCCAGTCTTCCTCAGCAAAAAGAGGAGGATTGGCATGGATGTTAGCTCAGGGCTGATCTTCCTCACAAACACACACACACACACACAAAAAAAAAAATAGAAAAAAGAAGAATATGGGAGAATGTGTTTAGAATTAGGGAGACATCAGACATTTCCTCAATATGCTTTTTAATATAGCATGTACTAAATTTTGCATAAAATCTATCTGTAGTTCTGAAAGGATAGTCACATAATAAAAACATATATATCTTTCCAAAGGTTAAAAATAGAGCAATGCCATCACCACAGAATCCACCTAAGTGGTCTCCCACTTACACTACCCTCTCTGATTCCAGGGGCAAACACTGCTAATTCTGACTTATGTTCTTTGAAGTTGTTTTTTTGGGTTGAATCCTATAAAATTGTCAATTTTTGATTATATTTTCCCTAGGAAACTGGCAATAGGATTTAAATGTCATTGTCCTATCACTTAAATGTATGTTCCTATCCAATTTATAGTCTGTCTCTTTTCAAACTTGTTAAAAGATCAATCAAAATGTATCAATTTTTCATCCTCATTGTTTTTCTCATTATTGTACTTTTGAGATTTAATCCTGTTCTGGGCATAAGAATCACTATTTCCAATCCTCTGTGTTTTTACATTATGTATGGTGACTTTCCAAAGTAGATATTCTGTGCAATATTGATGGAAGTCTTGTTTGTTTTAGTTTTCTGATGTTATGAATTAATCTGTTTGAATATTGTCACATATATGTCTCTTGGTGGAAATGAGAGAGAGTTTTATACTCGCAATGGAATTATTGGGGATAAAGGAGTAGGAATGTTCCTTTGGGTTGTTCCTAAGAGTAATCCTAAGTGATTGAATCAATTACACACATATGAGAAGGTCCTGATGATCTATATCATCACCAATATTTCAAGGGTACTGATAATCTAGTGGCTATAAAAATTATTTCATTAATTGGTACATCTCTTATTATTATGTGATTGAGAGTCTTTTCACGTATTCATTTCCCTCTCTTTTAAATCTACGTTTGTAGTATTTCTACTGATTTATCTTTTTCTTATTAATTCATTTGATTTCTTTACATAATTTCAAAACTGCAGTCCCCTATTGTGAACAAAAATTTACATTGAAACTGTTGTGAAAAAATTGGAAAAGATGGTTATGAAAATCTAATAAAGAAGTAACAGATCTGTTTGCATTGACCAGAGACAAAATTTTCACAGAGAATAAATTAGTATCTATTGTATAAATATACACAGTGAAAATTAAGATTCAGGAAACATTAATGACTCAGAAATACTCCTGAGAGATTCCAATTCTGCAATAACTTAGCAATATTTTTAAATATATTATTTATATGCACACATATAAACTATATTTTCACATCTAAAATTGGTATCAGACTTCCCGATGTCATTGATTAGATAGAGATCCCTTCATTCAGACCTAAAAAAAGGACTGGAATCTAATTAGAGAAGAATGATGTATCCATATTTGCAGAATTTGAAATGGAGATGAGCAGGCACAGATGGAGAAAAGTAGATGGTGAAAACCTGGTCTCGTGTGGTCAGGGAAGCAACCACTCTGAACTCCTTCCATCTAGAGTCTTGGTCTTTAAGGATTTGCACTGTCCTGGGATCTCAAGGACAATAAAATTGCTTGGCTAATGAGGAGCTTTGGAAATTGAACCTCTAGGGATACAGAGACTACAATCTGCCTATTATCATCTCGTTCAACAGTCCCTCCCATGAAAAGAAGTAGCTCATCTGAGCATCTTCCCATGGGTGATTCCTCTTGCCCAGGTGCCCAGGTCTCACTCAATCCCTCTGCCCTTCCGGAGGACAGATATCTGAGGTGGAATACTCAGATGAGATGTCAAGCATCATTCCATTGTGATGCCAGACAGGTAACTTAATGTCCCTTAGTCGATGTTTGGAAATGAGGACAGGTTCATCCAGGGGAAGCTGTGAAGAAAGTACACACATCAAATGGTTAGAACTAAGTCACCTGTGGTCCTCCTGCCTAACTATCTGTCGTCTTCTTCACTCATTTTCCTGTACTTTGTGCCAATACTCAAGAACCACTCATTTACTAATCTTACACCCAATTTCTGCTACGACCAGGACCATTTCTTCCAGAGAAGAAATATGCTTCTTTTTAAAACAGGATAACTGTTTTGAAATTCTCTGACATTTACTTGTCATCTTGTGGTGAGAGGGCAGCATCTGTGGTAAAGTTGATCTTATCTTCCCATTCCTGGTTCTTTACGTACCTATGTATTATCTCTGTGGCCTGCATCTTAGGTCTCAGGGGATCCAGACAGAATCTTAAAGCTGCCTCCCTAGTCTATTTGTTTCTCTTTATAAAATTACCAAATGTTTTAAATAATCAGAACAACATAGACAGTGTAATTTTAAACAATGACCACCTGTTAACTCTTTCCAGAATTAATGATTGTTAACGTTCTGCTATATCAATTTCAAGTATTTTTTTTTTTAAAGAAACAGAAAAAAAAAAAAGAAACAGAATAATATACTTATACACATATTTTTTATTCCCCTCTCTCAGTCTCCTTCCCTTCCCAAGACGGTTTTTGCCTCTGGTGATGCTCCTTCTACTGGTTGAGAGAACACACATTTGATTGCCTTGTCACTCCACCTTTTCCATCAGATTCAACAACAATATGAATTCCAGAAACGAAACACATGTTTCAAATTTCCTTCTCATGGAAGTAACAGAGGATCCGGAACTGCAGTCCCTCTTTTTCAGCCTGTTCCTGTCCATGTATGCATTCACCGTCCTGGGGAACGTGCTCATCATCCTGGCTGTCAGCTCTGACTCCCATCTGCACACCCCCATGTATTTCTTTCTTTCCAACCTGTCTATTAATGACATCTGTTTAAGCACAACCACGATCCCAAAGATGCTGGTGAACATCCAAACACAGAATCAGAGCATCAGTTATCCAGGCTGCCTTACACAGGTCTGCTTTCTCCTGGTATTTGCCAGTCTGGAAAGTTGTCTTCTTGCAGCAATGGCCTATGATCGCTATGTGGCCATTTGTCACCCATTGAGGTACACAGTCATTATGAACTCCCGCTTCTGTGCGCTGCTGATTCTACTCCCTCTGGTTTTTATCATTATGGATGCCCTGCTCCACAGTCTGATGGTGTTGCGACTGTTCTTCTGCACAGATGTGAAAATCCCCCTCTTCTTCTGTGAAGTTGTTCAGCTCATCAAGCTTGCGTGTTCTGATACCCTTATCAATAACATCCTGATGTATTTTGCAACTAGTGTATTTGGTGGTATTCCTGTGTGTGGAATCATTTTCTCTTACATTCAAATAGCCTCCTCTGTTTTGAGAATACCATCAGCGGGTGGAAAGTATAAAGCTTTTTCCACCTGTGGGTCTCACCTCTCAGTTATGTCCTTATTTTATGGGACAGGCATTGGAAATAACATTAGTTCTGCTCTCACAAACTCTTCTAGAAACACTGCAGTGGTTTCAATGATGTACACTCTTGTCCCTCAAATGATGAACCCTTTCATCTATAGCCTGAGGAACAGGGACATGAAGGGAGCCTTGAGGAAACTCATCAGTAGGACAGCTTCTCTTCAGTGACTATGTCGCCTGCTTTGAACTGGGGTTTCTAGAATGAGTCAAAGTGACAGAAACACTGGGTGAGCCAGAATGTTTGATTTTCTCATCAACTTCTTCTAAAATGCCTGCATAATATAATGGGTAAGTGAATTTTAACTTGGGGTTGAAATCCAACTTGCTGCTTCTGTAGCTTTGTGGTGTTTCAAAAATGAGTTCATTCTCTAAGTTCAGTGTCTTTGGTTGGGTCCTTAGAAGGTCACCTGAGGCAAGGTTTATGTTGATATTGTTGGGATGTCAGAAGGAAAAAAAGGGAGATGTTGGATAGGTCAGTGGGAGGATCAAATGACTCCCTGGTCATAACAAAGACTCTATTGTGTCTGATCTCACGGTTGGGGCCATGTGAATTTCACCCCAGAGAACAAGCCTACTGTGAGACATAGGGGGAGCTGGGTTTTCATACTCCAATTTAGTAATTCCTGAGATCTGTCAGTGGTTGACAGTATCTGTGCAGGGCAACATCAGCATCCATTACACTCAGTTTTATAATCTACCAACCTGCCATAATGTGATTATTAGTGGTTAGAGATGATTCTGAGGCATATGATCTTGATTAGTGAGGAAGTCATTGTTTCTTCTTAGAGAAAGTATCCCTGATTCTAACATGCCAAAACATTAAAGAGAATTGTCTCTCCCTACAAGGGTGTCAGAGGTAGGGAATGTGGAGGAAAATTCATTTACTCCTCCATGTGATGCTTTTTTCCTGGGACTAGTTCCCCTCATGGACTCAGACGGCTGCAACAGATGCAGATATCATAGCTAAGCATGATGACCAGAGAAAGAAATCTGACTCGTCTTCTTTAGGTCTATTGATACTTAAAATTGTATGGCATCATCCAGAATATATACCTTGCGATCCCTTCACTGTGGTTAGGATCATATGCCCCTTCTAAACCTCATTCCTGATGTGGAGAAAATGATTACTTTGAGAGTGTTAGACTGACTATATAAAGTGTAATTCTTACTCTGTACTCCACCCCCACAAACACTGCAAGAACTTAGGACAATACCTGACATGTAGTAAGTACTCAATAAAATTAACTGGTATCATTGTGTTCTGTACATGGCTATGTTCATAACTTTGTATTCCTACTGTTCTCATGGATTTACTGTATACTTCAGCAATCAGATTTTTCTTTTATGTTATATTTCTCAGTTACTTTTTCTGGTCTGAGTAATATAATAATACAAACAGTGTTTAGGTAGGCAGAGCAAAGGTTGGTAATCTGCTTCTGACATCTTATTTGCTTTGAAACCTTCTCATTGGCTGATTTGTAAGAATATACCTGAATTTTCACTTTTCTCCTTAGTCATTTGATCTTGTTGTGTTTCTTACTCATCTCTGGTGGAGTCCTCATGGAGATCATACTTGAATAAAATTAATTGTATCACTGATGTCTTAGAGCATTGACTGCACTCAGGGTTCTCATGCAAAACTTTTTAATGTGTCTTTAGGAGGAAAGTTATTTTGTGGAGGACTACTTTACTGTGAGAAGCAGAGGTTGAGTGCAAAACAAGAGAGGAGAAAGGGAAGTTAGCAAAATTAGGACCATCACATTTCTCATAACCACAACACTTCAAAGAATGATCTCTATGTGTGTGGGGTGAAAACAGTGAAAGTCTCACAATAGAACAAAGAAGTTTCTGGAGATCCTTGTGTCCTGGTGGTCATTGGAGTTCGAGGAGGTTGTTTTATTTTCAGCACCACATATGGGGTACAGCTTTGCCTGGGAATCATGGTCTCTCCCAGTGCAGAGCTTCCAGCATTGATGTTCACAGAGCACCTGCAGAGTTGAATCACCTGGGGCCTTTGCACATACAACAGGTTTCCAAACCTCACCTAAGAACTACTGTCTTTGAATCTCTATGGAGACATGTGAGGAATGAGCCTCTTCGATAAGCACCCAGTGAGATTCTGATGACCTCTGAAGTCTGAAGTGCATAAATTTAATATTAAAAGAATATGGGAAAATGTATTTAGTATTAAGAATATGGGAGGCCTTTCCTCAATTTCCTTTTTTAATATAACATATACTAAGTACTGCATAAAATCTATGTGTAGTTCTAAAAGAATAGTAACATAATAAAAACACATTTATCTATCTAGGGGTTAAAAATGGAGCAATGTCATCGTTATGGACTCTACCTGAAGTGTCTCCCACTCACATCCCTCTGTCCTCTCAAGTGGCAAACACTATCCTGAATTCCGTACTTATCATTTTCTTTGAAGTTTTTCTTTTAGGTTGAATTTTATGAAATTTCCAGTGTTTGATCATATTTGTCCTATGAAACAGGTATTAGTTTTAAAATCATTGACTTTTCACCTCTGTGTGTATTCCTATCCTATTTATAAATCTACCTGTTTTCCAACTTGTTAAATCTTAGTGTATGAATTTTGTGTCTGTATTGTTTTCCTCTTTATTGCTTTTTTGGGATTCAATCATGTTGTTGATGGTAGCAGTAAATAATTAATTTCCAATACTCTGGACCTTTTTATATTATTTATGGTATCTTTTCAAAATAGATGTCCTTGCTGATACTGATGGAAATTTTGTTTTTTCGTAACCAGTTTTCTGGTGTTATGAATAAACTTGTTTGCATATTCTCTTATATGTCTCCTGGTGGAAATGAGAGAGTGTATTATAATTGGGATGGTAATATTGGATACAAGAGAGTGCCTTTTCTCTTTGAGTAGTTCCAAAGCGTTTTCCTAAGTCAATGAACACATCTACACATACACATGAGAAAGTCCTGGTGATCCATATCATCACCAAGACATTTTCAAGTACACTGATAATCTAATGGGTGTAAAAATGATTTAATTAATTGATATGTCTCTTATTATAATATGGTTGATAGTCTTTTCAGATATTTATTTTATATTCTGTTAAATATCTGTTTCTGGTACTTCTGTTGAGCTGTTTATCTTTTTCTTATTGATTCATATGACATCTTTATATTATCAGAACAGTATTCTTAGTCAGTGATAAGCAGGGAAAATTTATTTTTAGATGCGTGTCTTGTTTTTGGATAACTTTTATAATTTTTTTTGGATGAACACAAGTGCTTAATTTTAATGTAGCTGAATTTGCCATTGCTTTCCATAATGGCTTGCACTCAATAGGTCTTGTTTATGAAACCGACAGTTACTTCAATCTGAAGGATTTACAGTTTTGGCTTTTACATTTGAAACAATCCCCTTCCTGGGATTTAGTTTTGCCTTTTATGTGAGGCAGGAATCCAGATTTATTTTTATGTCCCTGTGTAAACTATCCATTTATGTCTCTTTCTACCCATTGGTCTCTTTCTGGGCTCTATCTTCTGATCAATAGGTTTTGTATTTACCTCTGTACCAATATAAGGGGTCTTATTTAAATTGTGAATGTAACTTTGCTCTGAAATTTAACACTTAAAATAATAAAAATTGCAAGTTTTATGTAATATATATTTGAATAATAAGAAAAATTGACTAAACATATAGTAAGCATTTTAGTCCCTTTATAGAATATCACTATCAACTTTCCCCAATCTCAAAGTACAGGTTTTGATATATTTTTCCAACATTGTGGACAATTTGTTGAAATTATGGTCAGTGGTGATCAATATTGTTACAGTAAACTGTGAGTTATCAGACGAAGCAGTCAAATTGTATTACAATGTACCTTGTGGTTATAATTGACAGACATTGGGAATTCTTTGTTACCACAATTAACTTATTTTTGCCTGAGTGGTGTCGGCTAACCTTTAGCTAGACTAAGAAACTAAGACCTGCTCTGGGTGCTGGCTGCAGTCTCCTGCATGGTGGCACAGGCCAGGTGTGGGCACTTGCATGGTGGTGAGGATCAGGGCCATTGACAGGGGTCAGTTGTGGGTATGTGCATGGCGCTAGAGTCTAGTGACAGGCATTGAGTCTCTCTGCCTGAGTATGCACAGCTGTGGTTTCTGAGGCTGGTGTTATACATTTGTGCCACTACATGGTACATGGGGGTGAAGGCTGGTGACAGGAAATGGGTTAGCTGCATGCAAATGTGCAGCTATGGTGGCTGGGGCCAACTACAAGTGTGTGCTCAGTGGCCATACTGGGTTCCAGGATCAAGTCACCATAGCTATCGGATGGGATGGGACTCAAGCTGTTGCAGTCTTTGAAAACAAAGACCTGTAGGATACTAATGATGAACGCTGCAGAGTCTGTAGCAGCAGAGCTGGCTGTTGGTTTCCTCAGTGGTGAAAGCTTCCAGGGTCCTCTGTGGAGCAGGCCACTGGAGTTTGCAACGGTGAACATTGGATAAGAAAAATATAGTATATGCATAAAATGGAGTATTATTTAGCTTTAAAAAGGAAGGACATTCTCAAACATTCTACAACATGGATGAACCTTGAGGATTTCATGCTAAGTGAAAAAGCCAGTTATAAAAAGACAAATACCAAATGATCCATTTACATGACGTACTTAGAGTAGTCAAATTTAGAAAGGAAAACGTGGTTTGGTGGTTACCAGGGGCGGGGGTAGGCAGGGATTTTGCCTTCTTTAAGTGACGTAGAATTTTTTTTTCTTTTCTTTTATTGTGAGGAAGATCAGCCCTGAGCTAACATCTGATGCCAATCCTCCTCTTTTTGCTGAGGGAGATTGGCCCTGGGCTAACATCTGTGCCCATCTTCCTCTACTTTATATGGGGTGCCACCACAGCATGGCTTGACAAGCGGTGTGTGCCCGGGATCCGAACCTGCAAACCTGGGGCCACTGAAGTGGAGCACATGCACTTAATTGCTGCACCACTGGGCCGGCCCCAACATAGAGTTTTATTTTTGCCAGATGAAAAGATTTCTGGAGATTGGTTGCACAAAACAGTGAGAAGTATTTAACATTAATGAACATGTATACTTAAAAATGGTTAAGATGGTAAATTTTATGTTTCCTTTAATGTTCAATTCTCAGTCCCCTAAAGTGAAGAAAACTGTATATT